CACAGAGGAAGCTATCCTTAAACAAAAACAATCTGTTGTCTACTAATTTTATATAATCCTTTGTAAAACCTCCTTGGGACTGAAGCTTTAACCAACTGGAATTTAATGTGAGCCATAACTAGAGAGAGCAAACATTATAAATAAACACAAATGATAAGCAATATCACCAAAAGTGAATGATACAAAGAGAATCAACACTTGGTATTAATATATATATTCAAATCAAGTTTAATTGGTTTTCTTATTGCCCAAGTGTTCTAGTAACCTAAATCAAGACATTTCTAATCCACCTATAGTTTTAGACAGATTCAGTAAATAAAAATGAAACACAGTTTAGAAAAGATACTTTTCTGTTCATCCTAAATATATTTATAGCTTTTCTTTAAGAAAAATTATTTACTCAAGTAAATTTTTGTAATCATGTGCTGGTTCCTATGACTATTTATTGACAATTATTTCTGGATTATATAAACATGTTAATTAGCAGCAAGTAAATCTTGTTTTAAAAATCATTGCAAAGTGTGGACAATTATCAAAATGGATTCTATTTATGTCCCTGGCTAAACTTCTAATTAGTGATTAATAGTGATTGAATATTTTATATAAATACAAAATCTAATTATTAACTTTCTTAAATCTCTAAGATATAGGAGATTATAGGCATCTTTATAAATACAAATTTTGCTCAGAAATTGGATTTTAGAAGCTATGCCCCTAAACACAAAATGTATTCTATGAATTATCATAAGCTTAAACAAATACAGTGATTGACTTTCATTATTTTAGAAAAACTTATAATGTATTGCAAACTGTTTGCTAATGGAAATAAATCTATTTTTATTCACCTAACCTGTTATTTCACATTATAGTATAAAATCAGTTTTATGAAGGCAAAAATTATTAGCAGCATAGTTTAATTCAAAAGTCAAAAGATATTTAGAGGTAGTATTTCCAATTCAAACAAAATTTTGCAGGATTTAAATTTTTTTCACAAAGCACTGAAGTACCTTTTTTTTATATATAAAAAAAAGCTTTGCTTTAAATGTCAAATATTCTACAGATACAGACTTTTGGAGAATACTGAATTCTTTCCAAGAAGACAGCTATTTTAAGTTATTTTTTACACAGTTGTAGAAAGTGCCCCTCTTTTTAGTCCCCTCCCTATCTCATTTTCACCTGAAATAATTGTATTCAGGTTTTCTCAGCAGGTAAAGCACACATTCTTCCTTTCTTACAAGGTTTCAAATTTCAGAGTTCCAGTAATGCATTTAAACTTAGAACCCACCAAAACACGTTCTCTCCTGTGTGTGTGTGTGTGTGTGTGTGTGTGTGTGTCTCGGAAGGAGTGCGTATTATCTTGCAATTCTGTTATTTGCACTTTTAGTCTTTTTAGCTCCCCAGAAATACCTTAGTGAACCCTCAGCAGTTGCTAACCACTTAATAATTGTGAACCCGCCAGCCCTTTCAAGTAGATCGTTAACCACAAGAGTGCCTGACAATTTCCAAACCATATCCTCTGTCCTAAAGGAAAAGATAGGGCTTTGTGAGGCCGAAAGGAAGCGAAGGAAAACAAAACAAATGTAGCTCATGCTGAAAGTGAAAAGTGCTTGGACAGATTAGTATTTTCTTTTCTGCAAGGCATCCTGCCAAACTTTTTTTTTTTTAATAGAAAAGTTATTTTTTGGTCTGATTTTTCAGTTTCTTGGAAAGTGTTGGTATTTACCACCCCCACCGGCCCCTCATAATTACTATTATTTGTTTTGTGTTTTTCCCATCCATCCACATCACAGACTGATGATACCCTCGCCTCATCCTGTCAAAACCTAACTAGGGGCGGCCCTGGGTTTGGAATCTTCGGCGACTGCCGACGACACATGCCACTTTTTCCTCTCACGCCTCTCATTTCGCGAGATTCCCCCACTACAGTTTTAGAGAAGGCCGGAAATTTTCATTTAAACTCCCCCTTCTCGCCCCCCGCTTCGAGCTGAGAGCTGGGGAGCGGGGAGGCTCCGAGCACAGCCGGTTCTCAGCCGGCTCCCCTCCCTCCGGAAGGCTTTAATTTGCACACTTGCCATCGCGCCGCGAGACCCCGGCCCTGTCGCCGGGTGGGTCTCTGGCAAGGGTGGCCTCCCGGGCCCCCGTTCCCGCCCCCGCCACGCCGCCACTCCAGCAGCCACCCGGGTTAGGGCCGCGCTCCCCGGCCGGAGCCCCGCGGCCCCCGTCCGCCCCCGGCGACCAGAGCGGGCGGCGCTCTCCGCAGTCCCTCCGCCCTCCGCCGCTGTGCCCACCCCTTCGCCGGAGAAAGTGCTGGTAACTCCTTCCTTGGAGCCGGGTTACCTGCTTCGCGCGGCCGTGGATACGTGCGGAGGTCTGACCAACATACGAAGCCCCCTTGGGAGGCCAGACGTTGTTGGGTCCCTCAGGTGAGGAGCTGTGCGCTCGGGTGGGTGGGCTGCGGGGTGGGGGGTCCTGAAGAAGATTTGGAGGCTTGGCTAGGGTCGTAGGCGGGGTGGGGGTGGGGGTAAGCGTGGGGAGGCTGTGTGTCCGCTGACTTGGCTTTGGTTAACCCCTTGCGAACCAATGCGGGGTATGTTAAGGGGGCTGGTTTGGGGCAGCTATAGGATCTCCTACTCTGGCACGAGGGGGACGTCCCAACAGAGGGAAACCCTCAACAGCGAGATCGCGTCCCTACTTATCCGTTGGCACTAACATCCACATGTCCACACACTCCTTATCCAGCTTCTCCAAACGGAACTGCACTCGCACTCACATAATCCATATTTAGTGTTTTAAATGCACTGCCTCTGGGGACTCCAAGCGGGACACTGCGTTTCCTCGCCCCATTTTATTTCGCCAAGAAAGCGCCTCCAACTCACTGAGGTGTGGGTGTGGGCTCCACCTTCCCTACCACGCGATCAATGTTAATGCAGGCTTCCTGCTGGCAACCCCTGCGGACGTGTTATGCACACTTAGACGAGTGCAAGCAGCCTGCCAGTGCCTAGTCTTGGAGTCCTGCGAGGTCCTAAGTTTGCTTTGGTATCCACGTTTACTTTTATCATTTAAAATATCAGAGTTATAACGCTTGCCCCGCGGTGAGCAGCTCCTGGGTCTCGCAGCGCGCCCGTCTGTGTGCACGTGGGCGCATCTGCGTGTGCGCACACGCCGCATTCGCGGTCCCCGGTGCGGCCTCTTGTCGCTGCGCTGGTGGCGACCCTTGCAGTGCTTGGCAGGCTTCGGGAGAAGCACATGAAGGATTTCATTGAGTGTGAAGACAGAGAGCAGAGACAGAAAGCAGAAGGAGGCGGCTGCAGCCTTTGTAGTCGCGGAGGAATGCGGAAATGTTGAAGCACTATGTCAAACTTTTTTGAAATGGGGTCAAGTCACATTCAGCCAGCGTGGGAAAGCAACAACAGCAAAAAAAAAAAAAAAAAGTGGAGGAGAGGGGGGAAAAAAGCACTGCTGCTCCTGTTTCTCTACGCCGGAGCCAACCGTCCGGGGAGTGAAGGGCAAGGCAAGGGCTGCGGGCGGTGCGGGGCCAGGCGGGGGCGGCAGGCGCAGTTCCTTGCGGGGGTGGGGTCGTCCCTCGACGCTTTCTTCGTCGGGGAGCCCCAGGCTGGACTCAGGAGAGGAGGGACGCGGGAGAGCGGACTGGGAGGCCGGCAGCGGCTACCCCGCTACCTGTGTGGCCCTCGCCCTTGCGCAGACCCCCGCTAGGCTCTGGGGTCTTGCTCCTCAGCTTCCCCTGGATTCGCCTTCACCTTTTAAGGAAGGATCTGGATGGCGAGAGTGTAAGGGACTGTGCCCTCGTTACGGTCCCATCCGCCAGCACATCGTGGGGTCGCACTGTTTGTTGTTTCTTTCGTTTCTGGCGGTAGGCGAACGGGCCAGCGGTTGCGGGAAGCTAATTCCGAGGTGCCCTGGGAATTCCAGACACGCGGCTGGCGTGGCGAATGTCTGACTGAGGCTGTGGCGGCAGTGGGGAGGGCGGTCCCCTCAGCCCGGATCGCAGCCGAATGGGGAGGGAAATTGGGGGTCCCCCGCTCGGTGCTTTGTTGTACCGAAGGATCCGGGGACGTCTAGCTGCAGACGGGACCGGGCCTCAACCTGAAGAGGGACTGGTGCAACCGCTTGCACTGCCTACATCGGGGACGGTCCTTGAAGTGGGAAAAAGTCCGCGAGTCTTGCTCCCTAGGGCGCAACCCCTTCCCTCTCACCCCCGGAGGCGCAACATAATATATACTCTTTTCTCCTTTTTTGGGGGAGGTTCAGTTTTGCACTGGTTGAAGTCAGATGAAAACTTAAGGGCGAGTCACAGTCATGTTACCTTCCTCATTACTTTTTAAGGAGGCCAGAGTGTCTCCCACTCTGGGGGTCCCGACGGTGACTGCCCTCTCAAAGGCCCCTCGTTTGCCTACCCCCCGGTGTAGCGGAAGCCCTAGTCCTCCCAGACCTGATGAATTGTCCTCCTTGGGTCTCCACCAGGGAGGTCCTTTGAGGCGATGGAAGAATTTCGTTTTCCAGCCGAGACTCCTTTACCCCAAAAGACCATTTGTGTGTGCAGTCGTTTTCAAACGTCTCGTAGAAAAACTGAAAGTAGAAAGAAAGGAAGCAATTTTCGAGCAGATGTCTGACCACCCCTTCTCGCACACTCCCAGCATCGGGTTACAGAGTCCTGGGAGCCCCCACCCACATTCTGCGGCCCCACACGGCTGGACCCCCAGTCTCGCCACACTGGCTTGTGCACGACCCCTGACCGCCTCCACCGGCACCCCCCGGAGCTCCCTCTCCTGCACGTCCAGGCCCCGGGAGTTGGGGAGGGTAGCAGTGCAACACAATGATACAGGGATAAATATTAAGCCGTGACATTGGCGTGCCCGGCGCCTCCCCTCCCCCGCCCTCCCGGCACACTCTGGGCTGCTCGGCACGCCCCCTCCCGTTCCACTGCGCCCCGCGCGGCGCGATCATCCCCGAGGGGCCCCTGCAACCTCCGCGGGAAGACTGCTCCAGCTCTGCAGGGAAAGAAAAGTAACTTCACTTTTCTCGGAGGAACCAGGAAGGATTAAGCGGCCTGGGAGAGGGCAGGAGTGCGCGGCGGGTAGCGGATGGGGGCTTCTTGAAGGAGGAGGAGGGGAGACTGCAGAAACTCCGAGAAAGACGACTGGGATGTCTGATTGCACTTTTTTTTTCTTGTCCTACCATCTCTTCTTTTAGGTGAAGTGATTTTGAACTGTGAAACGCTTGGGCAGAGACTATGTAATCGCCTTGGTGTCTGAGCAGAAGGACTACGCTTCGGAGAGGGAAGAGGAGGGATCGGCTCGCTCCTCTGGTGGCGGCAACTCGGCAGGCGGAGTTTCACGGCGGCGGCACCAGGGCTGCGCCCGCCCGAGGGGAGGTCGCTCCATCCAGCCCCGGCGGCCGGGAGAGCCAGAGCCCCGCAGCCGGCGAAGGACACAGAGACCGAGGGCCGGAGCGCGAGGAAGTGGGCCGGAGCCCAGGAGGAGACTAGTGGCGGTCGCAAGCGTGTCGAAGGCGCTCCCCGCCGCCCCAGAGGCGCCACGCCGGGCGGCGTCAGGAAGGCATGGAGAAGGACAGCCTGAGCCGCGCGGACCAGCAATACGAGTGCGTGGCGGAGATCGGTGAGGGCGCCTATGGGAAGGTGTTCAAGGCCCGGGACCTGAAGAACGGAGGCCGTTTCGTGGCACTGAAGCGCGTGCGGGTGCAGACGGGCGAAGAAGGCATGCCGCTCTCCACCATCCGCGAGGTGGCGGTGCTGAGGCACCTGGAGACCTTCGAGCACCCCAACGTGGTCAGGTGAGCGGGGAACGGTGCCCACGCTGTGGGGGCCCGCGCGCCCGAAGAGGGTCGGGGGTCCTCGGGTCCAGAAGGGTGAGGGGCGGTGGCAGTTGCTGGGGAGGCCTGGCGAGATCTGTGGTCTTTACAGAGTGCGAGTAAGTTTCTGTCAACAGAGCTGTGAGCCAGCGCCAGTGACCTTGCCAGACAGCGAGCAGAAAGACCAGTCAGAAAACGTGATCTGCGCAGGCTTCTCTGCTGGTGTGCAAGTTACGTCTTCTCCCTCCCTGCCCTGAAGGGCAGTCCGGGGAAGTTAAGAACATACTACCTGAAACACACACACATCCTCCCACCCCCCCACCCCGCACTGTTTCCCCCTTACCCCTATTGCTCGTTATTGAGGAATTTTTGAAAGGCAGTGAAAATGATTGAGAAGTAGTACTATACCAAAATCAAAATGTGATAATTACTGGGAGGTTAAAAAAAAAGTAGAAACTTGATACAAGAATATGTTTGTTAGTTACACACCCAATCCAAGTGAAACCAGTTGCCTTGGAGTAGATTCTGACTCTTGGCGATCTCATATGTTGCAGTTTCTTTATCGAAGACAAGTATAAGAGCGATTCCTGATGGTCCAAAGCGCTTCAGTGTTAATAACCAGTTTCAAACATTGTCTTTAAAATTTTTCTTTTGAAAATGTTATCTATTTGTCGTTGTGACTTTATATCTCTGGGCTGGCATAGTCCTTAGACTTCTTTCTCCATAGGGTTAGATGGTGAGTCCAAGATGTGGTATCTTTATTTTCTGCCTTCTGCCCTTGCTTGTTCAGGACTGGTTGTGCGATTGGATGGGAGAAAGCTGTCTTTTAAAGCCTCTCCTGTGTGATAACCAATATTAAAAGAAAGTGAGTATGTCTGATTTAGAATGAGGTTTACTTAGTGATCCTGGAATGTTCCCATTGTGTGGGTGATAACTGTGTAGATGTCATCCCATTTTTCTTTTCTTGTTTTATACAAACGAGTAGTTTTATATAGAAAAGCAGTACAGAAAAACTTCTACAGTTTGGGTTATTTTACCTTTCTCAACTAAACCCACTCCTCACTTACCAACATGGTTAGGTTCCACAGACCACGTCATTTTGCCAAAATCAGCATTATGGGAGAATGGAGGATGACCACATCAGATCACAAAATGGAGAATAACTACATCATTACATAACTGCCAAATTACACCTTACTTAACTGCCAAACCACTGAGAATTGATGGCCCAGCCAAGTTGACACGTAACCTTAACCATCACAGGCAGTGTTTACTCTTGCCGAGCACCTAGTCATTCATTATTGTCACATGTCTTAATCTGTGAAGTAGTCAAAGAATACATTTTTTACTGTTGTCATAAATGCAGAACGTTGTTTAATGAGATAGTCCTGGAGTAGATGTAGTAAGGTACTAAGTTAGGAAGAGAAGATTGAGGGGGGAGGGTCTTCTCCCTCCTCTGTCTAGGGATTCTGTTCAACAGATATGTGGCTACTCTGTGCACTCTGGATGAAATTATGTAAATTAGCACAGTTAAATATTTTCATAAAAAGTCAAATAATTTAACATTAGTCATCAAAGTGGTAAGACTCATTGCTGACCCTTGAAATACCAAGCTCTCTACAGACACAAGGAGCCCAAGTGTCTATAGAGTCTTTCTGGGAGTTTTGTTTCCTTCTAGCCAAGCTGGGTGATTTGTGTAGTGCTTTGTTCCCAAGACAGTTAAACTCAGCCTAGAAGGCAACAAAGAATCACAAATACATAAATAAGGTAGTAAATGGTTATAAACCTACACTACATTATGCCTCCACTTTAGCTAGTGAAGGAAGGAGGAATAAGAG